AGACCTATATGTCCCTGTATGTACAAATGTGTTTTTTTTAAAACTTTATTGGGGAACAGTGTGTTCTTCCAGGACCCATCAGCTCCAAGTCAAATTGCTGTCTTCAATCTAGTTGTGAAGTGTGCAGCTCACTGGCCCATCTTGGGAATTGAACCGGCAACCTTGGTGTTAAGAGCCTTCACTCTAACCAGCTGAGCCGATCAACTGCCCACTGGCAGCACAGCTCCAGTCAAGCCGTTGTCTTTCCATCTAGTTGTGGAGGGTGCAGCTCACTGGCTCATGTGGGAATCGAACTGGCAACCTTGGTGTTAAGAGCCCGCGATCTAACCACCTGAGCCAACCGGCTGCTTCCCAGCTGTTTGTTTGGGTATTTAATGGGCATCTCAAATTTAACATGTTCAAAACAGAATTCTTGGTTCCCCGTCCCCTCATTCCCTCTTACATTCTCAAGCTCAGTGCTCTCCAGTTTAATAAATGATATCATCACACATTTGCCCATGCCAAAACCTCTGTGTCATCCTTTGGTTCCTTCATCTCACCCTGTTTCAAAATCATAAGCAATTCTTAGCTGCTCTTCTAAAATATGTTTAGAATTTGTCCCTTCATTCCATCTGTATTGCTCTTTTCCTGATCTGAGTCACCATCTACTTTCCTTTGAAGTACCGATTTTTGCCATGTATAATGTGCTCCCATGTATAATGCACACCCACATTTTTTGCCCAAACTTTCAGGGAAAACTTTCATTTTAATTTTTTTATTCAATATTTTATTTTATTACATTTAAGTAATTGTTTTTTGTATTATAAAGGAATTTTAACACTTAATTTTTAACATTATGGTACAAGAAATTTTATGTAACAAATAATTACAAAAAAACAAGAACAGATACAAGGTACAAGAAGTTTTATGTACTGGTAACAAATTTACAATATTTATGCATCATAGAAGGCCAAGAACTCTTCTTCGTTGTTGCAAGTTCGTAGTAAGTTCAATAAAATTGATTATTGTATGCCAGGGTATTATTTTGGATATCGTTATTTATTTCTAGAGTTACACTTTTAACTCATGAGCATAAATAAAAAATTAAAAACATTTATATAGATACGGAATTAGTACTACCTATGTATACTGCACAACCTTATTTTTTACAAATTTGGGCAAAAAAATGCACATCATACATGGCCAAGTACGGTATTCTGATAGACTCCAAATTTGTTTTCCTGCCCTCATTCTTTTTTGAAATTATAGTTGACATACAATATTATTTAGTTTCAGGTGTACAACAGTGATTAGATATTTATATACCTTACAGTGATTACCATGATAAATAGTACCTATCTGGCACCATACTTAATCCCTTGTCTTTCTTTGCCCATTTCCCCAAACCCTCTCCCATCTGGTAATCATCAGTTTGTTCTCTGTATCTATGAGTTTGTTTCTGTTTTGTTTGTTCATTTATTTTCTTTTTTAGATGCCACATATAAGTGAAGTCGTATCGTATTTGTATTTCTCTGACTTATTTTACCTGGCATGATACTCTCTACGTCTCTCCATGTTGTCGCAAGTGGCAAGATTTCTTTCTCTTTTATGGGCAAGTAATATTCCATTGTATATATGTACCACATCTTTATCCATTTTTCTATTGATGGACACTTAGGTTCCATATTTTGGCTATTGTAAATGATGCTTCAATGAAGATGGGGTGTACATATCTTTTTGAATTAGTGTTTTGGGTTTCTTTGGATAAGTACCCAGAAATGGGATTTCTGGGTCATATGGTAGTTTTATTTTTAATTTTTGAGGAACCTCCATACTGTTTTCTATAGTGGGTATACCAATTTACAATTCCACCAACAATTCACAAGGGTTCCTTTTTCTCCACATTCTCGCCAGCACTTTTTGTTTGTTGATTTATTGATAGTAGCCATTCTGACAGGTGTGACGTGATATCTCATGTGGTCTTGATTTGCATTTTCCTGATAATAAGTGATGCTGAGCATCTTTTCTTGTATGTTGGCCATCTGTATGTCCTCTTTGGAGAAATGTCTATTCATGTCCTCTGCCATATATTTTTTAAAGATTTTATTGGGGAAGGGGAACAGCCAAGTTGTTGTCCTTCAATCTTAGTTGTGGAGGGCACAGCTAGCTCAGCTCCAAGTCCAGTCGTCATCCGGCCACCCGTTGGCAGCTC